ACCCCCCCCCACCACCGGTGCTCCTCACCGCAACACCCCCACCCACCCCACCCCCACCACCGGTGCTCCTCACCGCGCGCAGACCACCACCCCCCCCACCCACCGGTGCTCCTCACGCAGACACCCCCCCCCACCACCACACCGGTGCTCCCCCACCCACCCCCCCCCCCCCACCACCACCACCGCGTGCTCCTCACACACGCAGACACCCTCACACGCAGACACACCCCCCCCCCCCCCACCCCCCCCCCGGTACCCCCTCACACGCAGACACCCCACCCCACCCCACCGGTGCTCCTCCACACCCAGACACCCCCCCCACCCCCACCACCGGTGCTCCTCACCCCCACCCCCACAACGCAGACACCCCCCCCCCCCCACCGGTGCTCCTCACGCCACCCAGACCCCCCCCCCCCTCCACCGGTGCTCCTCACACCCCAGACCCCCCCCCACCACCGGTGCTCCCACACCACCACCACCCACCCCACCCCCCCCCCCCCCCCCACCACCGGTGCTCCTCACACGCAGACACCCCCCCCCCCCCCCCCCCCCCACCACCCCATCCCCCCCCCCCCAGACCCCCACCCCCCCCCCCCCCCCCCCACCCGGTGCTCCTCACACGCAGACCCCCCCCCCCCCCCCCCACCCCCCCCACCCGGTGCCCCCCACCACCACCCCCCCCCCCCCCCCCCCCGCCCCCCCCCCACCCCCCCCCCCCCCCCCTCACACCCAAACCCCCAACCCGTGCTCCTCCACGCAGACACCCAACCCCCCCCACACCAACCCCCCACCCCCACCACCACCGGTGCCCTCACGCGCAGACTGCTCCCCCCCCCCCCCACCACCGGTGCTCCTCACGCGCAGACCACCCCCCCCCACCCACCACCGGTGCTCCCTCACAGCGCAGACACCCCCCCCCCCCCCCCCCCCACCCCACCGGTGCCCCACGGTGTTCCCTCACCCGCCCCCCCCACCCAGACACCCCACCCCCCCCACCACCACCGGTGCTCCTCACAACGCAGACACCCCCGGTGCCCCCCCCCCACCACCGGTGCTCCTCACGCGCAGACACACCCAACCCCCCCCCACCCCCACCGGTGCTCCTCACGCCTCCTCCCCCCCCCCACGCAGACACCCAACCCCCCCCCACCACCACCGGTGCTCCTCACACGCAGACACCCCCCCCCCCCACCACCGGTGCTCCTCACGCGCAGACACCCAACCCCCCCCACCACCACCGGTGCTCCTCACACGCAGACACCCCCCACCCCACCGGTGCTCCTCACACGCAGACCCCCCCCCCCCCCCCCCACCCCTCCTCAACCGGTGCTCCTCACACGCAGACCACAACCCCCCCCCCACCGGTACTCCTCACACGCAGACCCCCCCCCCCCCCACCGGTGCTCCTCACACGCAGACCCCCCCCCCCCCCCCCCCCCCCACCGGTGCTCCTCACACGCAGACACCCCCCCCCCACCACCGGGTGCTCCTCACACGCAGACACCCCCCCCCACCACCGGTGCTCCTCACCACGCAGACCACCCCCCACCACCGGTGCTCCTCACACGCAGACACCCCCACCACCGGTGTCCTCTCACACAAACCCCCCAAAACACACCCCACCGGTACTCCTCATACACCGACGCCCCTCCCCCAAGTACCTCTCACACACACTCCGGTGGCGGGGATTTCACACTCACCTCACGCCTGGGCCGACAGATATCTTCTGCGCATGTCCGGAAAAGATATTCCGAGACCTTTTTAGGTGTCCATTTTTTTGCCTGCACTAATACTTTCAAAACAATTCTGTAAACGCTCTCGACTTCCTTCCCCCTGGCATGGTTGCTGTGTATGAATGGGGTCATTAAACTTTGTTTTCTTCAATTAGAAATCATTTCCGGCATTCTTTAAAGTCACCATATAAAGGACCCCGATGTTTTGGTTACCTCGGCAACGAAGATGCGGTAAATACAATCCAGGTATAGAAAGGTAATAAGGATCGGTAATGGTCCAGAGGAGAAAGGTGAGTGTCATCCGGGGTCCTCCCATCCTTTACTGGCCGCTGCATGTGGAAGCTGGCCCTATTATGGGATGTCACACATGCAGCATGTCTTATAGAAGAACCACAACACCCAGCTGTCCCTCCCTGACACCCCAATCCCTCCTCCTTTCATTCTTTGCGTTCCTCCGCCATGCATTGCGCCCGTTCATCTGACCCCGCCAAAACCGACCAATAGTAGTAATGCGCACTGCGGTACATGAGCGTCGGGTTCCAATTCAAAAAGGAAGGCACCAGAGCGCTCTGAATGTGTGTTAGCCCCAGGCCCGGACTGGGACGAAAAAATAGGCCCAGCGCTTTGGACTGAGCAGCCCCAAGCCCGGGGACCCTTTCCTCGGAGCCCGGTGGAGGAACACCAAGGCCTGGTCACAGGAGCAACCTTTTGTGACCCTGGTAGTTCAGCCACTAGTGAAGTAGTTTTTTATTTAATTTTTTTACAATTTTATTTTTTATTATTGTTTTACATTTTTTTGTAGGAGAGAAGGAAGGAAGGAAGGAAGGAGGGAAAAAAAAAGGAAGGAGAGAAAAGAAGGAAGGAGAGAAAAGAAGGAAGGAGAGAAAGGGAGGAAGGAAAGAGAAAGGAAGAAAGGAAGGAAGGAGAGAAAGGAAGAAATGAAGGAAAGGAAGAAGGAAAGAAAGGAAGAAAGAAGGAAAGGAGAGAAAAAGAAGAAGAGAAAAGAGGAAGGAGAGAAAGGAGGAAGAAAGGAAGGAGAGAAAGGAAAGGAAGAAAGAAAAGGAAGGAAGGAGAGAAAGAAGGAAAGGAAGGAGGGAAAAAGGAGAGAGAGAGAGAGAGAGAGAAAAGAAAGAAAGAATAGAAAGAAAGGGAAAGAAAAGAAAGAGGAGGAAGAAAGAAAGGAAGGAAGGAGGGAAAAAGGAGAGAAGAAGAGAGAGAGAGAGAGAGAGAAAAGAAAGCAGAAAGAAGCAGGGAAAGAAAAGAGAGGAGGCAAAGAAAGAAGAAAGGAAAGGAGGGAAAAAGGAGACAGAAGTGAGAGAGAAAGAAGAGAGAAGGAAGGGGGGAAAAGGAAAGAGGCAAAGAAAGAAAAAAAAGAAGTAGAGAAAAACAGGAGAACAGAAAGTGAGAGAGAAAGAAAAGAGAGGAAGGAAAAGAGGGAAGAATGAGAAGGAGGGAAAGAAAGAAAGAAGAAAGAAACATGAGAAAAAAAAAAGAAAAGAACAAATAAAAGGAAGTAATAAAAATAAGGAAGGAGGGAAACAGGAGAGAGAGAGAGAAAGAAAGAGAGATGTATAGAAGGAGGGAAATAAAGAAGGAAGAAAGGAAGGAGGGAAAAAGGAGATAGAGAAAGAGAATGAAAGAGAGAATAAGAGAAGGAGGGAAAAAAAAGAAGGAAGGAGGCAAAGAAAGAAAAAAAAAAGAAAGAAAAGAAAAACAGGAGAAAAGAGAGTGAGAGAGAAAGAAAGCAAAAATGTATAGAAGGAAAGAGGGAGAAAATAGAAGGAAAAAAGAAAGAAAGAAAGAAGGAAAGGGAAGGGAAACAGGAAAAAGAGAGAGAGAGAGAAAGAAAGAGAAAGAAAGAAAGACATATAGAAGGAGGTAAAAAAAAAGAAAAAGGGAAGAAGGAGGGAAACAGGAGGGAGAGAGAGAGAGAAAGAGAGATGTATAAAGGAGGGAAATAAAGAAGGAAAAAAAGGAAGGAGGGGAAAAGGAGAAAGAGAATGAAAAGAAGACATATAGAAGGAGGGGAAAAAAAGAAGGAAGGAAGGAAGGAGGGAAAGAAAGAGAGAAAGGAAGGAGGGAAACATGAGGGAGAGAGAAAAAGAAAGAAAGAGAGATGTATAGAAAGGAGGGAAATAAAGAAGGAAGGAAGGAGGGAAAAAGGAGATGAAAGAGAAAGAATGAAAGAGAGACATATAGAAGGAGGGAAAAAAGAAAGAAGGAAGGAGGAAAAGAAAGAAGGAAGGAGGGAAATAGGAGACAGAGAGAGAGAAAGAAAGCGAGATGTATAGAAAGATGGAAGGAAGGAAAGAAAGAAAAAGGAAGGAGGGAAAGAAAGAAGAGGGGAAAGAAGAAAGGAGGCAAACGGAAAGAAAGAAAGAAAGAAGGGAGGGAAAGAAGGAAGGAGGCAAAGAAAGAAAAAAGAAAGTGGAGAAACAGGAGACAGAGAGTGTGAGAGAGAAAGTAAGAGAGATGTATAGAAGGAGGGAAAAAGAAGGAAGGAAGGAGGGAAACAGGAGACAGAGATAGAGACAGAATACGGCCAAATAGTATTTTTTCAAATATGTCAATATATTTGGGAAGAATAGTTTTAAAATACATTTTAAATATATTTTTCTTCAATGTGGGTAAAAGATGGGGGGATCACAGAAGACAGGATCAAACAGCCTTTTTACACAATGCAGAGGATTAACCCCTTAGTTTCCACAGTGAGTATAACAAGCACGCTTTCCTGCATCTACAGACTGATTCTACTGTTGTGGGTTTAGTAATACTTTAAGTTCACACAAATTCCAAGCCCTGATGAGGGGGTGTGCCAGCCCCCCAAAACATGCTGGCTGTTTAACGTCATCCTAATATTAACTACTAAAAGGTTATGTTCACTTTATGACCCTCTTATTGAACTTGATGATTGTAAATTTTCTGACAGGTCCAGCAGTCCAGTTAAACATCCTTGATTAGGGCAGGTGTGTACTGCGTAGACCTGAATTGCAGTGCTGAGAAACGACCAGCAGATGGCAACCTTTTTGTCCATCTGGACGAAAACTGCTTCATTCAACCACTCACGTCACTAACTGAGGTCTCTGCCATTGGATATTCTGCAATGTGTCACATTTTCTGCACTAAGAGAAGATGCTGTTCAGTAACTGCTGCCAAGAGCTTGTGTTTGTGTCTGCACGACCTGACAGCCAATTATTTCTTCCAGTTTCTTTATGACTATGTGAATATTTATTTTAATTCTTCTCAAACCATGCCTGTAGGGGCGACATGGAGGAATATCTGGGTGAATTCTCCACCACATCGTCCATACAAGCTCTGTGTACTCTGCTTCACAACCCTTCAGAAGAGGAGGAGGAGGAGGAAATCGAAAGTCACGTGAGTATATTACTATTTTATTATATATTACTGTTTGTTTTATTATTAGTAATTATGTCATTTTTAAAAAGGAGCGGTATCAATCTGGGTATGGGGTAGGAGCAGGGGCGGACTGACAACTCATGGGGCCCCTGGGCAATAGGGGATCATGGGGAGCCCGGTGTCCTTGCCCAAACTCAAAAAAGCCTATGAAAAAGGTACCAGGGGCATCTCATGGGGCCCCCTACTGACCCCGGGCCCTCGGGCAGTGCCCGAGTTTCCAAATGGTCAGTCCGCCCCTGGGTAGGAGAAAAGAGTGTAAAAAATGTAGCTCCTCCCACCCATGCTTCCATGTTTAAAATGCGGCGTTCGTTCTGACAATAAGAGATGGAGGTCACAGGTAGGGCCACCATTAGAAACCACGGGGCCCCATAGAGCCTAGTTGACAGGGCAACACCTTCCCTCCCCCTTCCTACCATATGGAAGAAAAATATACCTGAAATATATTTTAGAAATATTCTTCCCAAATATATTGCCATATATTTGAAACGCTACAATTTTGGCCGTATTCAATATATTTAAAAATATATTTTAATAAATAAATATCTATATATATATACATTCCTTCTGTACTGAAATGTATTGTAATTGTACTGTCTCCCTTATATTGTAGAGCGCTGTGCAAACTGTTGGCGCCATATAAATCCTGTATAATAATAATAATATATACTGCATATTGAAATGCGTTTTTATTACAAAATATATGAAAAAGATTTTTAAAAATACATTTCAAATATACTGTATGTCTTTATAAATACAAATCTACATTTTTGGAATGCATTTACAAATATGTGTAAAAATAAATGACTTTTTTATATGTTAAAAAAAACTGAAGAATATATTTAAAAAAATATATATATTTTTAAAAATCTATTTTTTTTAAATATATTATTACATACACTTTAATCCTGAACATTTAAAGTTTATAATTTAAACCCAAGGCTGTCTAGAGTCTTACCAGCAATTCTAGGCCCTGATGAAGTGGAGGTGTGTTAGAACCAGGGGCGGACTGACCATTTTGGAAACTTGGGCACTGCCTAAGGGCCGGGGTCAGTAGGGGGCCCCATGAGATGCCCCTGGTACCTTTTTCATAGGCTTTTTTGAGTTTGGGCAAGGACACAGGGGCCCCATGATCCCCTATCGCCCAGGGGCCCCATGAGTTGTCAGTCCACCCCTGGTTAGAACTGTGTTGGCTTGTCTCTAACATTTTAAGAATTGTTTGATTCTTTGTGATCTTTCAACAATCAGTCTGGTGCTCCTGCTTTGCCTTTACCTCCTCCTGGTAACAACATATCTACAGTGGGGATCAAAAGTTTGGGCACCCCAGCTAAAAATTTGTATTAATGTGCATAAAGAAGCCAAGGAAAGATGGAAAAATCTCCAAAAGGCATCAAATTACAGATTAGACATTCTTATAATATGTCAACAAAAGTTAGATTTTATTTCCATCATTTACACTTTCAAAATAACGGAAAACAAAAAAATGGCGTCTGCAAAAGTTTGGGCCCCCTGCAGAATTTATAGCATGCACTGCCCCCTTTGCAAAGCTGAGACCTGCCAGTGTCATGGATTGTTCTCAATCATCGTCTGGGAAGACCAGGTGATGTCAATCTCAAAGGTTTTCAGACTCATCTGACCTTGCCCCAACAATCAGCACCATGGGTTCTTCTAAGCAGTTGTCTAGAAAACTGAAACTGAAAATAGTTGACGCTCACAAAGCTGGAGAAGGCTATAAGAAGATAGCAAAGCGTTTTCAGATGTCAATATCCTCTGTTTGGAATGTAATTAAGAAATGGCAGTCATCAGGAACAGTGGAAGTTAAAGCAAGATCTGGAAGACCAAGAAAAATATCAGACAGAACAGCTCGCAGGATTGTGAGAAAAACAATTCAAAACCCACGTTTGACTGCACGATCCCTCCAGAAAGATCTGGCAGACACTGGAGTGTGGTACACTATTCCACTATAAAGAGATACTTGTACAAATATGGTCTTCATGGAAGAGTCATCAGAAGGAAACCTCTTCTATGTCCTCACCACAAAAATCATCATTTGAACTTTGCAAATGAACATATAGACAAGCCTGATGCATTTTGGAAACAAGTTCTGTGGACCGATGAGGTTTTTAAAATTGAACTTTTTGGCCGGAATGAGCAAAGGTACGTTTGGAGAAGAAGGGGCACAGAATTGAATGAAAAGAACCTCTGTCCAACTGTTAAGCATGGGGTTGGATCAATCATGCTTTGGGGTTGTGTTGCAGCCAGTGGCACAGGGAACATCTCACGAGTAGAAGGAAAAATGGATTCAATCAAATTTCACAGCAAAGTTTGGATGGTAACTTGATGCCATCTGTGAAAAAGCTGAAGTTAAAGAGAGGATGGCTTCTTCAAATGGATAATGATCCTAAACACACCTCGAAATCCACGGGGGATTACATCAAGAGGCGTAAACTGAAGGTTTTGCCATGGCCTTCACAATCTCCTGACCTCAACATAATTGAAAATCTATGGATAGACCTTAAAAGAGCAGTGCGTGACAGACAGCCCAGAAATCTCAAAGAACTGGAAGACTTTTGTAAGGAAGAATGGGCAAAGATACCTCAAACAAGAATTGAAAGACTCTTGGCTGGCTACAAAAAGCGTTTTACAAGCTGTGATACTTGCCAAAGGGGGCAGTACAAGATATCAACTCTGCAGGGTGCCCAAACTTTCGATCCCCACTGTATATGTGTATGTTTTGTATTTTGTAGTTGTATCTTATTTATATACACTTGTTTTTAGTGTCCTTCCTCTTCTGCGTTTGCTGGGCCCGGGGACATTGGATCTGTAAAAAAGCTGCAACAAAACATTTCCACTTGTAAGTATTATTTAAAGCCAAGCTTCACCTTATAGGGAAGTTCTGCTGATCCTTCTCCTCCCTCCCTCCTCATCCACTTTTGGAACTTTTTTTAGGGAGGCAGGTACCTATTTCTGGCAGATTCCTGCTCCCAGTTCCACTGGAATAGCCTAGGCCAGGGGTCTCCATTGTGCGGCCCGGGGGCCCGGATGCAGCCTTTTTTTTGCTTTTATCTTGCCCTTGGGGCATTATCCCCCCCCCCCCACTGTCAGTAACAGTGGGACATAGTTCCTGCCACTGACAACAACAATGGAGCACTATTCCTCCCGCTGACACCAATGATGGGGCACTATTCCTCCCGCTGACACCAATGATGGGGCACTATTCCTCCCACTGACACCAATGATGGGACACTATTCCTCCCGCTGACACCAATGATGGGGCACTATTCCTCCCGCTGACACCAATGATGGGGCACTATTCCTCCCGCTGATACCAATGATGGGGCACTATTCCTCCCGCTGACACCAACGATGGGGCACTATTCCTCCCGCTGACACCAATGATGGGGCACTATCCTCCCGCTGACACCAATGATGGGGCACTATTCCTCCCACTGATACCAATGATGGTGCACTATTCCTCCCACTGCTACCAATGATGGGACACTATTCCTCCCACTGACACCAATTACCCGGACACTATTCCTCCCACTGACACCAATTACCCGGACACTATTCCTCCCACTGATACCAATGATGGGGCACTATTCCTCCCACTGATACCAATGATTGGGCACTATTCCTCCCACTGACACCAATGATGGGGCACTATTCCTCCCACTGACACCAATGATGGAGCACACTATTCCTCCCACTGATACCAATGATGGGGCACTATTCCTCCCACTGAAACCAATGATGGGACACTATTCCTCCCACTGACACCAATGATGGGGCACTATTCCTCCCACTGACACCAATGATGGGGCACTATTCCTCCCGCTGACACCAACGATGGGGCACTATTCCTCCCGCTGACACCAACGATGGGGCACTATTCCTCCCGCTGACACCAACGATGGGGCACTATTCCTCCCGCTGACACCAACGATGGGGCACTATTCCTCCCGCTAACACCAACGATGGGGCACTATTCCTCCCGCTGACACCAACGATGGGGCACTATTCCTCCCGCTGACACCAACGATGGGGCACTATTCCTCCCGCTGACACCAACGATGGGGCACTATTCCTCCCGCTGACACCAACGATGGGGCACTATTGACCATAAAAAATATTAAACTAGTGACTTCTGTGGTGCATCCAAGGTTGAGAAACCAGAAGAAAGTTTCTAAACGTCCTCCCGCATTCATTCCCTGGGAGCGCATGCACCGATCGCTGTACGGGACCTCTGTGTGAGGTCCCGATCATGTGATCATTGATTGGCCAATCAGTGATCACATGAATAGTATTAAGCAAGATGTCACTTCTGACATCATTGCTTACTACTAGTGAAATCTGTGAATGATCACAGAGATCACATGGTACAGGGCTATTCATAACAGCCTTGTACCATGTGACAAGATGTGACCAATCACAGCTCTCACAGTATTTCTCAATGGCTGCAAGAATGCAGCCAGAGAGAAGGAGAAATGATTGCTTTTACAGTCATAAAGGCTGTAAAAGCAATCAGTGTAAAAAAAAAAATGGGTGACACTGTACTGCTAGGGTGACAGTATGTTAAAAAAAAAATATTAGTATACAAAAATAAAATAAAAATGTAAACATTTTTTGAAAAATTATAATTTTTTGTTATAAACTAATTTGGGTTATTTTTTTATTTTTTTTTGTACTAAAAAGATAGCTGAATACATTTCTTCAAGATTTATGAAGAAAAATTATTTATTTGCAACATTTTATAAGAAAAACACTTATTTTTCAAAATGTTTGGATTTTTCATTTACATAGCAAAAAAAAAATAAAAATCCCAGTGGTGAAAAAATACCACCAAAATAAAGTTTTAAGTGTCTCAAAAAAAATGCAAAAAAAATATTCATATGGGTACAGTGTTGCATGACCGCGCAATTGTCATTCAAAGTGTGATAGCGCTGAAAGCTGAAAATTGGCCTGGGCAAAAAGGAGGTGAAAGCATCCGGACTGGAAGGGGGGTGAAAGCGTCCGGACTGGAAGGGGGGGTGAAAGCGTCCGGACTGGAAGGGGGGGTGAAAGCGTCCGGACTGGAAGGGGGGGGGTGAAAGCGTCCGGACTGGAAGGGGGGTGAAAGCGTCCGGACTGGAAGAGGGTGAAAGTGTCCGGACTGGAAGGGGGGGGTGAAAGCGTACGGACTGGAAGGGGGGGGTGAAAGCGTCCGGACTGGAAGGGGGGGTGAAAGCGTCCGGACTGGAAGGGGGGGTGTTGAAAGCGTCCGGACTGGAAGGGGGGGGTGAAAGCGTCCGGACTGGAAGGGGGGTGTGAAAGTCCGGACTGGAAGGGGGGGGGGGTGAAAGTGAAAGCGTCCGGACTGGAAGGGGGGTGAAAGCGTTCCGGACTGGAAGGGGGGGTGAAAGTGTCCGGACTGGAAGGGGGTGAAAAGTGTCCGGACTGGAAGGGGGTGAAAGTGTCCGGACTGGAAGGGGGTGAAAGTGTCCGGACTGGAAGGGGGTGAAAGTGTCCGGACTGGAAGGGGGTGAAAGTGTCCGGACTGGAAGGGGGTGAAAAAGTGTCCGGACTGGAAGGGGGTGAAAGCGTCCGGACTGGAAGGGGGGTGAAAACGTCCGGACTGGAGGGGGGTGAAAGCGTCCGGACTGGAAGGGGGGTGAAAGCGTCCGGACTGGAAGGGGGGTGAAAGCGTCCGGACTGGAAGGGGGGTGAAAGCGTCCGGACTGGAAGGGGGGTGAAAGCGTCCGGACTGGAAGGGGGTGAAAGCGTCCGGACTGGAAGGGGATGAAAGCGTCCTGACTGGAGGGGGGTGAAAGCGTCCGGACTGGAGGGGGGTGAAAATGTCCGGACTGGAAGGGGGGTGAAAAATGTCCGGACAGGAAGGGGGGGTGAAAGCGTCCGGACTGGAAGGGGGTGAAAGCGTCCGGACTGGAAGGGGGTGAAAGCGTCCGAACTGGAAGTGTCGGGGGGGGGTGAAAGCGTCCGGACTGGAAGGGGGGTGAAAGCGTCCTGACTGGAGGGGGGTGAAAGCGTCCGGACTGGAGGGGGGTGAAAATGTCCGGACTGGAAGGGGGGTGAAAATGTCCGGACTGGAGGGGGGTGAAAGGGGGGTGAAAGTGTTCGGACTGGAAGGGGGGTGAAAGTGTTCCGACTGGAAGGGGGGTGAAAGCGTCCGGACTGGAAGGGGGTGAAAGCGTCCGGACTGGAAGGGGGTGAAAGCGTCCGGACTGGAAGGGGGTGAAAGTGTCCGGACTGGAAGGGGGTGAAAGTGTCCGGACTGGAAGGGGGGGTGAAAGTGTCCGGACTGGAAGGGGGTGAAAGTGTCCGGACTGGAAGGGGGGTGAAAGTGTCCGGACTGGGAAGGGGGGGTGAAAGTGTCCGGACAGGAAGGGGGTGAAAGTGTCCGGACTGGAAGGGGGTGAAAGTGTCCGGACTGGAAGGGGGTGAAAGTGTCCGGACTGGAAGGGGGTGAAAGTGTCCGGACTGGAAGGGGGTGAAAGTGTCCGGACTTGAAGTGGTTTAAAAAAAAAAAAGAATCCTTTTACAACAACTTTCACACTATAGAAACGCAGTGCAGATGCATTCCGGATATGTTTCCACATGCGTGTTTTTGATGCGTTTTCGATGCATTCCAGTTCATTTTTTCCCCCTTTCTTTTTCTTCAATTTAAATAGGGACATGTGCGTTCAAGTTTGTTTTTGGTGCGTTGCAATGCATTTTTGGTGCGTTCCAGTTAGTTTTTGGTGCGGTCCGTTGTGCTTTTGATACATTTTACAGCATTCCAGTACAGTTCTGTGCATCTGTGCAGAAAAAAATGCAGCCTGTTCTTTTTTTTTTCTGCAACACTGGAACTGCAAGCACTGGTATGAACTATGACATTGACAACCGTATAACCTACTTTCTGTGCGTTTTGGATGCAGAAAAAAAAGCAACTGAAACGCATGGAGTGTGAACTGGCCCTAACTCCACATTTATTGTCCCTGTAGATCAGGGGTGTCAAACTCCATTTTATCGCGGGCCGTAACAGCATTACGATTGCGCTCAAAGGGCCAGTTGTATCTGTAAGACTAGATGTCCAGAACACCCCCCCCCCCCCCATTACATCAGATGTCAAGAATCCCACACCCTCCCTAACATCACCGTGCACCCCCTTTGGGGGCAGAGCTGGAAAGCAGAAAGTGCAGGGTCTGGAGGAGGACCAGAGTGGAGGCAATTACAAGAGTCTGCTGAATGCTGAGACCAAGGGAGGCAGAGATGAGGGGGTGCTGCAGCTGCACTGAGAGGTGCAGGATTTGGCCGAGGAGTTCTATTCGCCTCTCTGCTGCCGACTGTTGAGATAATGTGGGAGCAAAGACAAGGGGGTACCTGCAGGTGAGGTGCAAGCAGGAGCGGACTGACAACTCATGGGGCCCCCGGGCAATAGGGGATCATGGGGCCCTTGTGTCCTTGCCCTAACTCAAAAAAGCCTATGAAAAAGGTACCAGGGGCATCTCATGGGGCCCCCTACTGACCCCGGGCCCTCGGGCAGTGCCCGAGTATCCAAATGGTCAGTCCAAGGGCCACATGAAATGGCCTTGAGAGCCGGATTCGGCCCGCGGGCCTTGTGTTGACGCCTGTGCTGTAGATAGTTTGTGTGGAACAAGCTGGCCCAAACAAACTATTTACAGTACCAACCGGTGTGCTTGCTGGGCATGTAGCCTTGCTGTGTTCCGGCAGTGGGATGGGGATGTCCTTGACAAAGTCAAGTCGGGCTGTGCACCACTCTGCCATTCACAGGAAACTTTGTATTCTATAAAATAATACAAAGCTCCTCTGAGATGGAGAGGCGGGCGGATGAAGTCACAATCTTCCTCTCAACCAATCACAGGAAGCCTTGTATTATTCATAAAACACAAAGCTTCCCGTGAATGTTTGAGCAGTGCCCAACCCGACTCCATGTAGTGTGATGGAACAAAAACGGAAATTGAAGGGCCACACCACTGCTAAAGAGTCCAGATGCCAGGGGGTCAGGGGGACAATCCAAAGAGTATCCAACACGTTTTGAGGTTCCAAAAATTCCCCCTTCATAAGAGCTAGAAGAAACATAAGGACGTCATATCAATATAATATCCATACCAGTGCCAGGACAAGGTCATTTAAAGCCCAGGGCTAACATGCCAAACTGCACCCTCCCCAAGAGTATTATGTGTCAGCAAACCCCCCCCCCCCCCCTCCATAAAAACATCGATCACTAATCCTAATCTGCATGAGTACCCTCTAAGCATAAATATAAATTCCCTCTCCTCCTAACAAATCCACTCCCCTGTTGAAATCTCCCCTTCCAGCAGAAATCTTTGAACACCCCCACCTGCATCCTCCCTCCCCAATCACCCCTCCTAATACAAGTTCTCTACCCCCCAAATTCCCCCTGCGAGTACAAATCCCCCCCAATCTAAAGCCCCCCTGCCAGCACAAATCGCACCCCCAATCCTCCACCTCCTAGCAAAATCCTCCACCCCTCCTATTCCCCCTCCTAGCACAAGTACCCCCTTCCCAATCATACCTACTAGCACACATCCCCCCCCCTGCCAAAAAAAAAATTCCCCTCCAAGCACATATCCCTCCCCTCCTCCTAGCACAAGTCTAGGGTATAGGATTATAACTTTTTTTTTTTTACCTATGGTTGAACTTGATGGATTTTTGTCTTTTTTCAGCCAGACTAACTATGTAACTATGTAAGTCCTCTTTCCCCATTTCCCCTCTCAACACAAATCCTCCCCGCCCCCCAAATCACCACTTCTAGCACCCCCTCCCAAATTCCCCACCTAGAACAATTCTTACCCCCTGCTGATTCCCCCTCCCAATGCAAATCTTCTCCCCTCCCCAATCTCCTCCCATTGCCCCTCCAACTCACATGATACTACAGTGCCCCGGGGGCAGCCGTCCCTCCTGCCCACCCCATGTCTTGGCCCTGTTCTATACAATATCCCATCATTAAAACCAAATAGCCAATAGTATTGTATTTGTAGAAATGAATGTCAGGTAAGAGATAGTCAGTATACAAGGAGGGGATATTGTATTGATATAGAGATCAGGGGCGGACTGACAACTCATGGGGCCTCCGGGCAATAGGAGATCATGGGGCCCCTGTGTCCTTGCCCAAACTCAAAAAAGCCTATGAAAAAGGTACCAGGGGCATCTCATGGGGCCCCCTACTGACCTCGGGCCCCCGGGCAGTGCCCGAGTTTCCAAATGGTCAGTCCGCCCCTGATAGAGATGTCCTTCTGCTTCTTCTAGTCCTGATAAAGAGGGCGTTTTGGACCCTCGAATCATGTTGACTACTCTTTGGATTGCCCCCCCTGACTATTATTGCTATAAAGTCCTATCTGGACCTTTTAACAGTGGTGTGGCCCTTTAATTTCCATTTTAATTTCATTGTAATGGGGACATCTGTTCCAATGACAACTGCCTAGGAAGGGAACGCACCTCACTTTGTAGAGATTCTCTTCATTCATTCATTCGTTCATTCTTCTCTTCATTCTTTCATCTCTGATTTCATGTTGTGGCTACAGGACAGGAAGTGACGGGAAATCTCCCCAGCAGTACACTGACAGGGGTGTTAGCTCTTCTTTTCTACATCCAAATCTAAAAAGAAATATTTTAGCTATGCAGTCCAATATTCTTTCTCTATAATGGTCCTTTGACCTGTTGCTGCCCATGTGCGTTGGCAAAGAGGATGGGCTTGAACGTCCACATGCCACACATATGCATCTGTGAGTGGCGTAGATTTCTGTGCTGAGAGTGCACTCTCCCAGAGTAGAGACTGAGCTGTCAAAGACAGATCCTGGTCTCTAGCAGTGATCGGGAGCTGACGGGACTGACTCCTGATCATGTGACCTGTGTGACAATCACAGTGGTCATGTGATCAGACCTTCGCACGCCTTGAGCATTATAGCCCAGTTAAAGGGTCCACAGTTCTGGGGGGGGGAAGGGATTAAACACTTTATAACTGGAAGCACCCAGTCACAATCTGTACTTGGCAGACAACCTCCTCCTGCTTGTATAATCATGTCATCATTTTACAACAGCTGAGACAGAAAAAGATGACAAGGATATTTGGAAAGAGTCAGAAGTCCAAGAAGGGGCAGAATTCGATGATTTTTTGGATCCGAGAGAAAAACCAGAGTAAGTCCAACTGTTCTGTTCAATGAATCTGTGAATCTTGCGGGTTTTTTTTTGTTTGTTTGTTTTTCTGACCCCTGTAACCGTTTTATTACATGTTTTATTACATGTTTTATTACATGTTGACCCAGCTAGCAAATCAGTTATTTTTCTACTTCCTGTAGCAGGTTGACAACACTGTTTCTTTTCAAATGAAATTGCACAGCAGCGTTGTCACCCTATAGATGGGGTAGCTTTATTGGACACGTAGTTTAAATCGGCTTTAAAGCCTCACTCCTGGCACCAGAAAAAAACACCCTTGCAGTAGGCTTTCCTAGTATTGCCGAAATTATATTCTCATTAAGTTTACGGGTAGAGGAAGACGGTGTAATGCTTACATTAAGCTTTTGCAGCTTCCTCCTAAGCGCCCTGAAGCCTCTTCTCTAAGGTGGTTGCATGCTGACAAATTCAAGTACAATGCAGGACCAGGAGTCCTGCATTGTACATGAGGACAAGTGAGGGCCCATCTGCAATCCCAAGCATTGGAGAGTGAAGAAGTGGGGCCCTGAAGGATTCCTCTACCCCAAAGCTAAGCTCAACACCACAACCTTTGACATGTACTCAGCTGGTCATCATTTAAACCTGTTGCTTGAGGGAGGGATGGAAGGGCGATTGACAGAGGTCTAAATTGCCTTTCAAATCTATGTTGTGAATATCCTTAAAGAGACCCTATCACCTTATGAGAGCATCGGCTTAAAGCCCACTCCCTGACCACCTTTACTTCGCAGTTCTCCTCCGCAGCTCCTCCTTATGTTGCAGCCACAGCAAAATACCCATTTGCAGCTGGTGTTAGAGATTAAAGGGAGTTGTAACGTCGGCCTTTAAAAAAAAAAAAAAGCCTATTTTGCCAACCACTGGCCTCTAATCTGCAATTGCAATATCACCCCACCAGATCTGTCCCCACCTCCACCACCTAGCCACATAATCTAACAGTAACAGTTTGGTGAAGGCCCTTTCTGTTCCTGCACGGCTGTGTTCCTGTGCACAAAGCCAGCTCCATAAAGACATGGTTTGATGGGTTTGGTGTAAAGGAACTTGAGTGGCCTGCCCAGATACCTGATCTCAACCCTACTGAACACCTTTTAGGATGAATTGAAGTGCCGATTGTGTGCCAGGTCTTCTCAATCAACTTCAGTACCTGGCCTCAACCCAACTAAACATGTTTTGGATGATTTGGCATTCCCATTGTTCCAGGACTTCTCATCCAACATTAATACTTGCCCTCAACCCAACTGAACACCTTTCAGATTATTTGGAATGCATATTGTGTGCCAGGTCTTCTCATCCAACTTCAGTACCTGACCCTAACCCAATTGAACACCTTTTGGATGATTTGGAGTGCCCTTTGTGTGTCGGGTCTTCTCATCCAACATCAGTACCTGCCTCAGTCCTACTGAACAACATGTCAGATGACGTGGAATGCCCATTATGTGCCAGGTCTTCTCATCCAACATCAGTACCTGACCTCAACACTACTAAACATGTTTCAGATGAATTGGAATGCCCATTACGTGCCAGGTCTTCTCATCCAACATCAGTACCTGACCTCAGTCCTACTGAACACCTTTCAGATGAATTGGAATGCCCATTACGTGCCAGATCTTCTCATCCAACATCAGTACCTGACCTCAGTCCTACTGAACACCTTTCAGATGAATTAGAGTGCCCATTACGTGCCCGGTCTTCTCATCCAACATCAGTACCTGACCTCAGTCCTACTGAACACCTTTCAGGTGAATTGGAATGCCCATTACGTGCCAGGTCTTCTCATCCAACATCAGTACCTGAACTCAACGCTACTGAACACCTTTCAGATGAATTGGAATGCCCATTATGTGCCAGGTCTTCTCATCCAACATCAGTACCTGACCTCAGTCCTACTGAACACCTTTCAGATGAATTGAATTGGAATGCCCATTATGTGCCACTCTCATCCAACATCAGTACCTTTCAGTCCTAATGAACACCTTTTAGGATGAATTGAAGTGCCCATTGTGTGCCAGGTCTTCTTATCCAACTTCAGTACCTGGCCTCAACCCAACTAAACATGTTTTGGATGATTTGGCGTTCCCATTGTTCCAGGACATCTCATCCAACATTAATACTTGCCCTCAACCCAACTTAACACCTTTCAGATTTTTGGAATGCATATTGTGTGCCAGGTCTTCTCATCCAACTTCAGTACCTGACCCTAACCCAATTGAACACCTTTTTGGATGATTTGGAGTGCCCTTTGTGTGTCGGGTCTTCTCATCCAACATCAGTACCTGCCTCAGTCCTACTGAACACCTTTCAGATGAATTGGAATGCCCATTATGTGCCAGGTCTTCTCATCCAACATCAGTACTGACCTCAACACTATTAAACATGTTTCAGATGAATTGGAATGCCCATTACGTGCCAGGTCTTCTCATCCAACATCAGTAACCTCAGTCCTACTGAACACCTTTCAGATGAATTGGAATGCCCATTATGTGCCAGATCTTCTCATCCAACATCAGTACCTGACCTCAGTCCTACTGAACACCTTTCAGATGAATTAGAGTGCCCATTACGTGCCCGGTCTTCTCATCCAACATCAGTACCTGACCTCAACTCCTACTGAACACCTTTCAGATGAATTGGAATGCCCATTATGTGCCAGGTCTTCTCATCCAACATCAGTACCTGACCTCAGTCCTACTGAACACCTTTCAGATAAATTGGAATGCCCATTATGTGCCAGGTCTTCTCATCCAACATCAGTACCTGACCTCAGTCCTACTGAACACCTTTCAGATAAATTGGAATGCCCATTATGTGCCAGGTCTTCTCATCCAACATCAGTACCTGACCTTATGTTAATGGTCATGGTTTTGGAATGGGATGTCCAACAAGCTCATATAATGATAATATAATGATCAAATGTCCACAAGTTTGACCATAAAATAAAGGTAAATCTTAAGTAAAAAAAATTTGAGGCTTCCAAACTCTTCCAGTGGCAGTCATCACTAATGTCTACACTATTCTGTTCACAGATTTGAAATACTTTTTAAGCAAAGAGTTAGTTCTGAAGATCTCTTTTTGGGCCTGAGTCGAAAAGACCCGTCAACTGCTTGCTGTGAGGATATGGTGGTAAGTGTTTGGAGCTTTTCCTAATGCTGTCCAATATAACTTACTGATATTTTCCTGTCTAATATGCTCTTGAGATGGTGACAGGGTGTAGCCTGGAGGAGTGGCATGGGTGTCTGTGGTAGTCTGGATACAACAGATGGTCTGGAGACACTCTGTTGAGGGTGCTGGGAAGCTTTGGACCTAATAATCTTTCTCTCACTCTGCTTTTTCCTCCTACCAGCATGCTCCTTGTTATCACAAGATCTAACATCAACACTTCCTGGCTCCTTGTGATGTTTCTCCCTCTCCCAGTTTGAGCCCCACTGTAGAGGGACAGGTGTCAAACACAAGGCCCGTGGGCCGAATCCAGCCCTCCAGGCCATTTTATGTGGCCCTTGCACCTCTCCTGTAGGTACCCCCTTGTCTTCTCCCCCACCATGTCTCAGCAGTCGGCAGCAGAGAGGAGAATAGAACTCTGCCAAATCCTGCTCCTCTCAGTGCAGCTGCGGCACCCCCTCATCTCTGCCTCCCCTGGTCTCAGCATTCAGCAGACTTTGGTAGCTGCCTCCACTCCTCCTCTGGTCCTCCTCCAGACAGTGCACTTGCTGCTTTCCAGCTCTGCCCCCAAAGGGGGTGCACGGTGATGTTAGGAAGGGTGTGGGATTTTTGACATCTGATGTAATGGGGGGGTGCTCTGGACATCTAGTCTTACAGACACAACCGGCCCTTTGAGGGCAACCGTATTGCTGATACGGCCCGCGATGGAATGGAGTTTGACACCCCTGCCCTAGAGAATAAAATAGTGTTCGTTCCAATTTTTTTTACGTCACACTGCAAAGGTCTAAGACAGCCTTTCTGAACTAGGGTGCCTTAAAGTTCCTTCAAGGGTACCTTGCAAAAATGTCTAAAAACTGCCCAAAACTTGAATAAAAGCCAGTGGCTGCCTTTAAAGTTACACAATGCCACAGGTTTTCATTGTGCACCATTACAACCTTCTAGCTGCCGTGTGACAACCTGACAACCAATGACATCATCAGTTGATAAGGAGGATGTCGTCTGTCTGCACACAGCATCCTAGTTTGACGTTCCCCTGCCCCTCTCCTTCAGTGCTGGGGTCACATTAGCTCAGTGATGGAGAACAACCGATGGAGAAGAGAAACATTGGCATACTAGTCAGTACCAGTGTGCAAACGTGTATTTGCATTGGAAGAATAAATCACCTCTAATGTTGGGTGTCTTACATGTGTGGATGTTGCTGTCTTATATAAACCTATCAGAATATTTTTCACATTTTAGAATGGGGTGCCTCAAGACTGTCCATAATTTTAAAGAGTGCCTCGGGACTGTCCATGATTTTAAAGGGTGCCTCAGGACTGTCCATGATTTTAAAGGGTGCCTCGGGACTGTCCATGATTTTAAAGGGTGCCTCAGGATTGTCCATGATTTTAAAGGGTGCCTCAGGACTGTCCATGATTTTAAAGGGTGCCTCGGGACTGTCCATGATTTTAAAGGGTGCCTCGGGACTGTCCATGATTTTTTTAAAGGGTGCCTCGGGACTGTCCATGATTTTAAAGGGTGCCTCGGGACTGTCCATGATTTTAAAGGGTGCCTCAGGACCGTCCATGATTTTAAAGGGTGCCTCAGGACTGTCCATGATTTTAAAGGGTGCATCGGGACCGTCCCATGATTTTAAAGGGTGCCTCGGGACTGTCCATGATTTTAAAGGGTGCATCGGGACCGTCCATGATTTTAAAGGGTGCCTCAGGACTGTCCATAATTTTAAAGGGTGCCTTGACTGAAAAAAGGTTGAGAAACACTGGTCTAAGAGACTCCACACACAGCACACAGTTAACCCTTTGATTGCCCCATATGTTAAAACCCCTTCCTGCCCAGTGTCATAAGTACAGTGTCAGTGCTTTTTATTAGCACTGATCACTGTATTGGTGTCACTGGGGATGTCAGTAGCAGTTAGTCAGTTCCCCCCAGTGTCAGAATGTCCGCCGCAGTGCCCCGCTATAAGTCTCTGATTGCCGCCATTACATAGTAAAAATAAAGAAATCAATCCAAGTATCTATATCGCCATTTGTAAACGCTATAACTTTCACATAAATCAATTAATTTACACATATTGGGATTTTTTTTTTGCAAAGACGTAGCAGAATACATTTTGGCCTAAATTTATGATGAAATTAGATTCTTTAAGTTTTTTGTACTGAACATGTTTAATAGCAAAAAGTCAAAAATATTGTTTTTTTGTTCAAAATTGGCAGTCTTTTTTTTTTTATAGCCTCAAGACTGTCCATAATCTATAAAAAATCTTTTTTTTTTTATAGCGCAAAAAATAAAAACCACACAAGAGATCAAATACCACCGAAAGAAAGCTCAATTTGTGGGTAAAAAAGGACGTAAATCTCATTTGGGTGCAGCGTTGCATGACCGTGCAATTGTCAGATAAATTAAAGCAGAGCCGTAACGCAAAAAATGGCCTGGTCAGGAAGGGGGGTAAATCCTCTGGAGTGCAAGTGGTTAAAGGGTTAGTTCACCTTCACAAAAAAAGATCTGTGACCTAACACCGGACCCCTTCCCCACCCCCTGCTGTACTTACCTCCTGCGATCCTGATCCAGGATTAACAGACAGATTCTGATTGGTTAGTGCCGTCCATGTGACCATTTAGAATCCATCTGGTCCATCCTTGCAGCGTTGGACAGAGAGAGAAGAGAAAGCAGCAGAGATTTCAAACCCCCAGACCAATGGAGCAGCTTGATGAGCCCCGATTGAGGTAAGTATAGGGGCACCGGGAGTGGGGACGGGGTCACCTTTTGCAGATTTTCTGTAAAGGTGAACATTTTATTGCAGACAATGCAGTAAGGTAAAAAAAAAGCAAACCCGTTGAGAGCTTTTGCTCACATGCATATTGGAATGATGGCATTTCTTTTGTAATTGTACAATGTCTAAATAAAGAATTACCAAAAAAAAAAACCCTTTTAGAGCTTTTGCTCACATTTAATGTACAGTTGTGTTCAAAATAATAGCAGTGTGTTGAAAAAAGTGAATAAAGCTGAAAATCCTTCTAATAGCTTTTATTTCCATCCACACAAATGCATTGGGAACACGACACATTCTATTCCAAATCACAACATGAAGAAAAATACATCAAATTTGTGTTGTTCCTCTAAAAAAATTGAAGAAAAGTGAATATTAGACGGTTCAAAAAAATCGCAGTGTTTGTATTCTTCTTTACAAACTCCAAACATTCACTATATAAACTGAGAAATGTTTGAAGATTTTGCTTTCCTTTGAATGACTTCATGAATATTTGGTTGTAGTCGCACTGTTTCTGAGAACTGCTGTACATCTGTGTTGCATGGAGTCCCCAACTTCTGGCCCCTGTGATCAGGTATTCCAGCCCAGGATGATTGGACACATTCCACAGTTCTTCTCTATTTCTTGGTTTGGCCTCAGAAACGGCATTTTTGATGCCACAAGTTTTCTATTGGATTAAGATCCGGGGATTGGGCTGGCCACTCCATAACGTCCATCTTGTTGGTCTGGAACCAAGATGTTGCACGTTTACTGGTGTGTTTGGGGTCGTTGTCTTGTTGGAACACCCATTTCAAGGGCATTTCCTCTTCAGCATAAGGCAGCATGACCTCTTCAAGTATTCTGATGTATTCAAACTGATCCATGATCCCTGGTATGCGATAAATAGGCCCAACACCGTAGTATGAGGAACATCCCCATATCATGATGCTTGCACCACCATGCTTCACAGTCTTCACAATGTACTGTGGCTTGAATTCAGTGTTTGGGGGTCGTCTGACAAACTGTCTCCGCCCACTAGACCCAAAAAGAACAATCTTACTTTCATCATTCCACAAAATGTTGCGCCATTTCTCTTTAGGCCGGTCAATGTGCTCTTTGGCAGATTGTAACCTCTTCAGCACATGTCTTTTTCCCAACAGTGGGACTTTGCGGGGACTTCTTGCAGATAGCTTGGCTTCACATAGGAGTCTTCTAATTGTAACAGTCCTCACAGGGAACGTCACACCTTCTTTCATCTTCCTGGAGCTGATTGTTGGCTGAGTCCGCGCCATTTTGGCTATTCTTCTATCCATTCCAATGGTAGTTTTTCGCTTTCTTCCATGTCTTTCAGGTTTTGGTTGCCATTTTAAAGCATTTGCAATCATTTTAGCTGAGCAGCCGATCATTTTCTGCACTTCTTTATATGTTTTCCCCTCTCCAATCAACTTTTTAATCAAGGTACGCTGTTCTTCTGAACAATGTCTGGAACGACCCATTTTCCTCAGAATTTCAGAGAGAAATGCACTGTAACCAGCATGGACAACATTTGCTGCCTTCCTTCCTTAAATAAGGGCAATAATTGCCACCTGTTTCTCAAAGAATGAATGACCTCACTAATAGAACTCCACACTGCTATTATTTTGAACACGCCCCTTTCAATGAGTGATTCAATGACACAGAATCAGCAGCATGCATGTCATGACTGTTGGGTCTGTTGGATTTCTATGACTCTACTACACCTGATAGGAAATTATTTGCCATGTTGTCATCATTTCTACCAAAAACAGTGATTGATCCGGTTAGTGATGTCTGACTGCTATTATTTTGAACACAACTGTATATTGGAATTATGGCATTTCTTTTGTAACTGTACAATGTCTAAATAAAGAAGTAAAGACTTCAGAAGCACTTTAATAATACATACTTGAACAGAATACTTTATTTTTTTTAAATGTAACAGTTACCGTAAATATAAATTTTTTTTTCATTTTTTTTGTTATATTTGTACAAATCACAATTATTATTATTTTTTTTTTATTAGATCCGTATCCAGCTTCCTGACACAAAGGTCTCTGATGTTTCACTTGATGTAAAGAAAACGCACATAAACCTCTGTACTCCCAAATAGTAAGTAATCCTTGGGATGCATTGCCTAGGGACATTGATCAGGAATTCTATAAAATATCCTTTTCCCCCCACATCAAATGTTAGGCGGATGCAAGATCAGTCACCCTGCACAAGGAGAACAACCAGCAGAGCTGTGGGAGGGGCCAGGCAGACTCCACCCCCTACCGGCTGCCTGCAGAAAAGTACAGGAGGGGGCGGGGACAAGACGAGTCACCCTGCACAAGGAGAAGGAAAGAGCACAGAGCTGTGGGAGGGGCCCAGCAGACCCCACCCGCTACCAGCTGCCTGCAGAAACCTACAGGAGGGGGTGGGGACAAGACCAGTCACCCTGCACAAGGAGAAGGAGAGAGCACAGAGCTGTGGGAGGGGCCCAGCAGACTCCACCCACTACCAGCTGCCTGCAGAAAACTACAGGAGGGGGTGGGGACAAGACCAGTCACCCTGCACAAGGAGAAGGAGAGAGCACAGAGCTGTGGGAGGGGCCCAGCAGACTCCACCCACTACCAGCTGCCTACAGAAAACTACAGGAGGGGGTGGGGACAAGACCAGTCACCCTGCATAAGGAGAAGGAAAGTGCACAGAGCTGTGGGGAGGGGCCCAGCAGACTCCACCTGCTACCAGCTGCCTGCAGAAAACTACAGGAGGGGGGACAAGACCAGTCACCCTGCACAAGTAGAGAGAGAGCAGTGAGCGGTCTTTATCACAGGAAGGAAAAGTCTCACATTGGCTTACTGCACAGATCTGGAGGAAATTCATAAAGGGCTTCAAGAATGCTGCGCTTTCTCCTTGTGTAAGGTGACTGCCCCCCTTTACATTAAGTGTTCCCATCAGAGTCCCCCTTTATATAAGGTGTTCCCATCAGAGTCCCCCTTTACATCAAGTGTCCCCATCAGAGTCCCTCTTTATATAAGATGTCACATGATCCCTAAACCCCACCCCACCTGTCCCGCCTCCCGGCTTCTGAAACTCTTAAAGGGCCGGGAGGCGCCGGCATGAAGGGGTTAATAGCAAAAAGTCCAAAATATAGTTTTTTTTTCTCAAAATTGTCGGCTTTTTCTTAATAAAAAAAACCACATAAGTACCACCAAAAGAAAGCTCAATTTGTGGGAAAAAAAGGAGGTAAATTTAATTTGGGTGCAGCGTTGCATGACCGCGCAATTGTCAGTTAAAATAACGCAGCGCCGTATCGCAAAAAAATCGCCCAGTCAGGATGGGGGGGGGGGGGGAGGGGATCCTCAGGAGGGCGAGGGGTTACACTGACTCTGTTGTGTTTTTCACAGTAAGCTCGGGCTGCATCTCCCCCATGCGGTAAATGAACAATCAGGACAAGCCAAATTCCTGGCTGATACAGGAACCCTGGAGCTGACCCTCCCCATGGCACGGGACCTCGACTTCATCAACTTTGCATAGAAACACCGAAATTCAACAGACGGTACTTTGCATAAAACACTGCAAAAAAAAAATACAAAAATACAAAAAAAAAAAAAACCTTCCACTGTCCAAAATGACTTCAAAGAGCACCTGTCACTGGTTGGCCTTACACATTCATCTCAAATCCATTAATTAATCCATGAAATAAATAAAATCCATTAAATGGAACTAAATAAATTAAATTAAATAAATCCATTAAATGGAACTAAATAAATTAAATTAAATAAATCCATTAAATGGAACTAAAGTCCAAAGAATACGTCTGTTCCGGCGATGTAACCGCTGCATCCCTTGCTGGCCAGGCTTCTTCTGGGTGCCGGAATGTCGGCCTCTTGAGACATGTCTCGTGCGCGTGCGCACGGGAGTCCCTCGTCCCGGCACCGTGCTGAGAATGTATGCTGAGCTGATCAATTCTCATCAGGGGCGGACTGACCATTTGGAAACTCGGGCACTGCCCGAGGGCCCGGGGTCAGTAGAGGGCCCCATGAGATGCCCCTGGTACCTTTTTCATAGGCTTTTTTGAGTTTGGGCAAGGACACAGGGGCCCCATGATCCCCTATTGCCCGGGGGCCCCATGAGTTGTCAGTCCACCCCTGATTCTCATGACTTACTGACTACACAGGGAAATGTGATGGAAGACTTGTCTGTCTTTTATTATTTTGTTCCAGGGCTTTTGTTCTCCGAAAATAGGTGCAGGAACACCCCCCCCCCCTTTCCAGAGTCACTCCTTGTCTCTGCCTCTACCTACCTCTGAGCACCATTCCTAGGTTCCACCCAGGGGCGGACTGACAACTCATGGTGCCCCTGTGTCCTTGCCCAAACTCAAAAAAAGCCTATGAAAAAGGTACCAGGGACTTCTGATGGGGCCCCCTACTGACCCCGGGCCCTTGGGCAGGGCCCGAGTTTCCAAATGGTCAGTCAGCCCCTGATTGCAGGAGGTAAGTACAGCAGGGGGTGGGGAAGGGGTCCGGTGTTAGGTCACAGATTTTTTTGTGAAGGTGAACTAACCCTTTAACCCCTGGTCACATGGACCGCACTGACCAATCAGAATCTGCCTGGTTAATCCTGGATCAGGATCGCAGGCAGGGGCAGACTGACAACTCATGGGGCCCCCGGGCAATATAGGAAATTGGGGCCCCTGTGTCCTTGCCCAAACTCAAAAAAGCCTTTGAAAAAGGCACCAGGGGCATCTCATGGGGCCCCCTACTGACCCCAGGCAGTGCCCGAGTTTCCAAATGGTCAGTCCGCCCCTGGTTCCACCCCCCTACCCACCTCCCAAGTACTGTCCCTTTGAAAGAATACTGAAGCAAATATCACTTTGTGATGCAAAGTAAATTGTATGGAAATTGAAAATGATAACAAAAAAAGCTAGTAAAATAGATCCCCTACAGCAACAATAGATCCACCAGCAACAATGGACTCTTCTTCATGACAGCAATAACAGATTTCCCTGCAGCCAGCATCAATGGACCCTTCCTCCAGCAACAACGGACCCCCGACAACAACAACAGATATCCCCACAGACATCAATGGACCCTTCAGCAGCGAGCAACAATAGAGTCCTCCCTCGACAGTAGATCCCTCCCAGAAACAATTGACCCCCCCAACAAAATAAGACCCACCCCATCAACAAAGCAGTACAGTAGATCCCTCAGCAACAATGGATCACCCACAACAAAATACCCTTCCTCCAGCAACAACGGACCCCCACCCCCGACAACAACAACAGATCTCCCCACAGACATCAATGGACCCTTCAGCAGCGAGCAGCAATAGACCCCTCCCTCGACAGTAGATCCCTCCCAGAAACAATTGACCCCCCCCCAACAAAATAAGACCCACCCCATTAACAAAGCAGTACAGTAAATCCCTTAGCAACAATGGATCACCCACAACAAAATACCCTTCCTCCAGCAACAACGGACCCCGCGACAGCAACAACAACAGATCTCCCCACAGACATCAACGGACCCTTCAGCAGCGAGCAACAATAGACTCCTCCCTCAACAATAGATCCCTCCCAGGAATAATTGACCCCTCCCTCCCAACAAAATAAAGACTCACCCCAGCAAAAAATAAAATACAGAAGCAAGTATCATTTTGTGGTGCTAAGTACATTGTATCGCATTTGTAAATGATAACAAGAAAAGCAGTACAGTAGATCCCCTTCAGCAACAACAGATCCACCAGCAACAACGGACGCTTCTTCCCTCAGCAATAATGGACTGCCCACAACAAAATACCCTTCCCCCAGCAACAACAGACCCCCCCCCCTCCCCCCGACAACAACAACAGATCTCCCCACAGCCATGAATGGACCCTTCCGCAGCGAGCAACAATAGACTCCTCCCTCAACAGTAGATCCCTCCCAGGAATAATTGACCCCCCCCCAACAAAATAAGACCAACCCCAGCACACAATAGAATACAGAAGCAAGTATCACTCTGTGGTGCTAAGTAAACTGTATCGCAGTTGTAAATAATAACAAGAAAATCAGTATCATAGATCCCCTACAGCAACAATAGATCCACCAGCAACAAAGGACCCTTCTTCCCTCAGCAATAATAGACTACCCACAACAAAATACCCTTCCCCCAGCAACAACAGACCCCCCTCCCACGCCTCGACAACAATAAATAGATCTCTCCACAGCCATCAATGGACCCTTCAGCAGCGAACAACAATAGACCCATCCCTCAGCAATAGATCCCTCCCAGGAAACAAATGACTCCCTAGAAAAATAAGACCCACCCCAGCAACAATAGACCTCCCCAGCAGCAACAGACACCCCCTGCAGAAATAGATCTCCTCCAGCAACAATAGATCCCACTTCAGCCAGCGTCAATAGACCCTGCAGCACACTCCAGCACCCCTTGCCATTACATACATTCAGTGCTGGAGGTGCCTGCATTCCCCCGCGTTCCGCCGAAAAAAAATCTGAACAAAAAGCTCCTGTATCCTGAAAAATACAAATAAATCTCGGCCATCTTGGTTTGCAGTGCGTTTTATGAACACATATGGGTGTATATTAAAAAAAAATATTGTCCCATGAAACTGCATGTACCTTTTGTGCTCTGCAAATGCCGGCAAAATCGAATGTTACTCCGCTGCTTTCTCTCCAGGTCCTACAGCAGGGGTCTTCAAACTTGGAGGTAAACAGTTCCTCATTTTTGGTAGTAGGGGAAGGAATAGTGCCCATCATTGGTGTCAGTGGGAGGAATATAGTGCCCCATTGTTGGCGTCAGTGGGAAGAATAGTGCCCCATCGTTGGTGTCAGTGGGAGGAATAGTGCCCCATCATTGGTGTCAGTGGGAGGAATAGTGCCCCATCATTGGTGTCAGTGGGAGGAATAGTGCCCCATCATTGGTGTCAGTGGGAGGAATAGTGCCCCATCATTGGTGTCAGTGGGAGGAATAGTGCCCCATCATTGGTGTCAGTGGGAGGAATAGTGCCCCATCATTGGTGTCAGTGGGAGGAATAGTGCCCCATCATTGGTGTCAGTGGGAGGAATAGTGCCCCATCATTGGTGTCAGTGGGGGGAATAGTGCCCCATTGTTGGCGTCAGTGGGAAGAATAGTGCCCCATCGTTGGTGTCAGTGGAGGTGTCAGTGGGAGGAATAGTGCCCCATCATTGTTGGTGTCAGTGGGAGGAATAGTGCCCCATCATTGGTGTCAGTGGGAGGAATAGTGCCCCATCATTGGTGTCAGTGGGAGGAATAGTGCCCCATCATTGGTGTCAGTGGGAGGAATAGTGAGTGTGTCCCATCATTGGTGTCAGTGGGAGGAATAGTGCCCCATAGTGCCCCATCATTGGTGTCAGTGGGAGGAATAGTGCCCCATCATCATTGGTGTCAGTGGGAGGAGGAATAGTGCCCCATCATTGGTGTCAGTGGGAGGAATAGTGCCCCATCATTGGTGTCAGTCAGTGGGAGGAATAGTGCCCCATTGTTGGTGTCAGTGGGAGAAATAGTGCCCCATCATTATTGGTGTCAGTGGGAGGAATAGTGCCCCATCATTGGTGTCAGTGGGAGGAATAGTGCCCCATCATTGGTGTCAGTGGGAGGAAGAGTGGCCCATCATTGGTGTCAGTGGGAGGAATAGTGCCCCATCATTGGTGTCAGTGGGAGGAATAGTGCCCCATCATTGGTGTCAGTGGGAGGAATAGTGCCCCATCGTTAGGTGGGTCAGTGGGAGGAATAGTGCCCCATCATTGGTGTCAGTGGGAGGAATAGTGCCCCATCATTGGTGTCAGTGGGAGGAAGAGTGGCCCATCATTGGTGTCTGTGGGAGGAAGAGTAGGCCCATCATTGGTGTCTGTGGGAGGAATAGTGCCCCATTGTTGGTGTCAGTGGGAGGAATAGTGGCCCATATCATTTGGTGTCAGTGGGAGGAAGATTGGTCCATTGTTTGTGTCAGTGGGAGGAATAGTGCCCATTGTTGGTGTCACTTTGAAGAATAGTGCCCCATTGTTGGTGTCACTTTGAAGAATAGTGCCCCATTGTTGGTGTCACTTTGAAGAATAGTGCCCCATTGTTGGTGTCAGAGGGAGGAATAGTGGTCCATAGTTGGTGTCAGTGGGAGGAGATAGTGCCCCATCATTCCATTGTTTGTGTCAGTGGGAGGAATAGTGCCCCATCATTGGTGTCAGTGGGAGGAAGAGTGGCCCATCATTTGGTGTCAGTGGGAGGAATAGTGCCCCATTGTTGGTGTCAGTGGGAGAAATAGAATGGCAGTAACTACGGCCCAATATTGCTGACAGTAAAGGGAATAATGCACAAGGGCGAGATTAAAGCAAACAAATCTGGAGACCGCTGTTCTACAGAATAGAATGAATGACTACAATACCACATGATAGCCACTAGATGGAGCTGGCAGTCATAGTAAATTAGTATTTCTTTTCTATAATCACTAGCGCCACCTATTGGCCATAATGCAGTGTTTTATGGACTTTTATTAAAGCGGACCTTCCCCCCCCCAAA